ACATACATACATACATACATACATACATATATACATACGTACATGCATACATACTGTAGAGCCAAAAACTGGTACCCCTGCCGAATATCTTGTAGGGCACCCGCGAGCTCGCAGAAGTGCCGCAAACACGTGGCATGGACTCGACTAATGTCTGAAGTAGTGCTGGAGGTAATTGACACCATGAATCCTGTAGGGCTGTCCATAATCTCGTAAGAGTATGAGGGGGTGGAAATCTCTTCTAAACAGCACGCTGCAAGGCATCCCAGAAATGCCCCATAATGTTCATGTCTGAAAATTTTGGTGACCGGTGGAAGTATTTACATTCAGAAGAATGTTCCTGGAGCCAATCGCAGAGGAGCAATGTTCCTGGAGCAACTCGGGACGAATGGGTTGTTGCATTGTCTTGCTGGAATTGCCCAAGTCTGTCGGGATGTACAATGGTCATGAATGGGTGCAAGTGTGCAGACAAGATGCTTACGTACGTGTCACCTGTCAGAGTCGTATCTAAACGTATCAGGGGTCCCATATCCCTCCAGTTGCACACGCTCAATACCATCCCAGAGCTTCCACCTGCTTGAACAGCCCCCCGTTGACATGGATTCGTGAGGTTGTCGCCATACTCGTACGCGCCCATCCGTTCGAAACAATGTGAAACGAGACTCGTCAGACCAGGCAACGCGTATCCAGTCAGCAACACTCTAATGCCAGTGTTAACGGGCTCTTGCGAGTCGCAAAGCTTTGTGTCGTGCAGTCATTAGGGTAGACGAGTGGGCCTTTGACCCCGAAACTCCATATCGATGATGTCTCGTTGAGTGGTTCGCACGCTGATGGCCCAGCTTTGTTGCCCAGGTTTGTTGATGGCCCAGCATTGAAACCAGCAGCAATTTGCGGAAGGGTTGCACTTCTGTCACGTGTAATGGTTTTTAGTCGGTCCTGTTCTTGCACGATCTTTTTCCGGCCGCGGTGATCCCGGAGGTTTGATGTGTTACCGGATTCCCTATATTCACGGTACAGTCGTAAAATGGTCAACTTAGCAAATCCAAATTTCATCGCGACTTTGGAGATGCTATGCCGCATCTCTCTCGCGCCGACTATTACACCACGTTCAGACTCACTTAAATCGTGATAACCTGCCATTGTAGCAGCATTAACCGATCTAACAACTGTGCCGGATTGGTTGTCTTATAGTCGTTGCCGATCGGAGCGTCGTATTTAGTTTGGTTTTAGATCTCTTTATTTCAAAACGTATGGCCATTCTAGTTCATATAATTCATTATGGTAAAATAAAATTCGTGTTTTAATCTTATTCAATCAATTATTTTAAACTCCATAAAATGTATAATATTCACAGTAATACTTTTAATTTATCTCTAATCCTCACCAAAATTCAACAAGATAGTAAATAAAATTTTATGTCTGGAAAATCTGAAAAAAATGAACTTGAAATTAAAGTTTTATTGCACGGATTGAATGTAAAAAATTGAATGGCGTATGAGGGTGGCCCCCCTCCCCCCTAGGCGCGAGACTATCCTACAGACCTGGTGAGCGCGCTGCAGAGGCCGGGTGGACTCTATATTTGGATGCGCCGGAAGAAGCAAATATTTCTTCATGCCGCACGTGTTGCTTCTGTTCGTGAGGTCTTTCGCGCTCTTAATTAATTGTAGAATTTTTTGCTAATTCTGCTCTCGGCAATGGTACGATGTTTTGTTAGTTTCTGTCTTCTGAAGTTTGGTTCTCATCCGTGCCGTGTTGA